AATGGAATTTTGGTCTGTAGCACCTACACCAAACACCCTGTATATTTAAAAATTATATCAAAATATAGCTCTCATGAACTCCTGAAACTTTTGTATGAAACATGTTTGTGTATCTCCTTCAACAAACCAGATATTGCCTGTTACATAAAATGTGGGACACCCGGTATATTTTTTTCAGTCGTTGCCTGCTCAAAACTAAAAAAGTATTTGTAATAATAGTAGTGAATTTTGCTACTATGCGTCTTCAAAAGGTTGCGAGAAAAACTTACCAGTTAAACCCAGAACCGCTCACCGCGTTTTGAAAAAGCATAAATGGAAACCGTTCAAATATCATCTGGTACAACATCTGCAAGACACGGATTTGCATCGTCGAATTGAGTTTTGTGAATAGTTGCTGATATAAAATCAGGGATATCCACATCTTATAAAAAAAAATTATATGGAGTGATGAAGCTGAGTTCACCAGAAATGGATAATTAAATCGTCATAATGTTCATTTTTGACTGATGAAAATCTGCACTACCCGTGGCCGATATTGCTAATTGTGAATGATCGGAATAGCAGTCATCTATTTTATCTATATACGAGTATCCTTTGATTGAATGTTATGCGATCATCATGTTTTTCCAGGAAAACTCCGCAGATCTGAAAGACATCCAAAACATCTCTTTGGACGTTGACGGTACTGTACAACAGACGAACGCCGCCGTTGCAGCAAAAGCTGCTACCACATCTGATGAAATCGTCTCTTCCTCCGAGGAAGTCCTCCCCAAAGACTCTGAAGACGACTTCGACTTCCTCACAGACATGATTCAGACACCTCAGTTCCACCATCCTCACCATAGGACCCACTTCCAGGTAAGTGTATAATAGATTGTATTTATTCATGCTCAAAGGTTGCTGGTCATCAATGATAGGTGGATAACTGTCCCATTAGTTAGGTTATTTGCCGTTTTTTCAACTCCATGAAATTGATTTAGGTTCTCGTCTTCATTCTCCCCTATATCATATTTCTATTTTTCGAGATTGCTGAAGAATTGTAAAAAAAACGAACAGATTGGATTCCTGCTAGTTGCCCCGATAAATAAGAATATATTTATTGTAGAAAAAGCGTGTTTTTTAGTTTTTTTAAACTATATTCATTTTTCATTTTTTGGTTTCATATGCTATAAAAGCGTGATTTTAAGTCTTTTTAAACTATATTTATTTTATCTAAACTTTGGGATCAATCAGCCGTATATTGTTTAGAAAAATGACCATCGATATTTTCCGATTTCGGAGAGGGAGCTTGAAAATCAGCTACCAAGCTCAAGGCAGCAGGTGCAAAGGAGGGTTACAAATAAGTCAGCAGGCGCGCGTGTTAATGAAAAAAAATACTTTTTTGAAATGAAGAAATACGTGTAAAGTGAGTTCGAATTATATCGAGGTTACGTACAGCGCCATCTGCCCTCGAATAGATCAAACAATAATGTTGATAATTCTGTCAAATACAGATCCCGAGCATTCAAACGGGAATAAATATAAAATGAAAAGGAGAGTTACAAACAAACAAACAAACAAACAAACATACATACAGATGAAGCTAATAATAAAAGCGTGTTAATTAAAAAACAAATCATCCGTAATTGAACACCAGACAATGCTGTTTCGGCCCACCAACCACGAATGCATTTCTGGACTCAACTTGCTCGTTTACGTTCAATATTCATCGCCTTTACTTTCTAATCTCTTTTTTAAATGTAATCCAAAAACTTGCGAGTACCACCAGAGTGTTCAATTCATAAACGGAGGAATCGCAGCGGATCACAGAAATTTGTTGATTGCGATACATGAATTTCTAAATATTCTATTGTCTCAATATTCCAACAAATATATGCAAGGAATACATGCCCAACAGCAAATATACTCTTATTATCTAGAATTCAGAGTAGTATAATTACAACCAATCTATTACGATTCGCTCAGACCCCTTCTGTTCTGCATCTCACTATTGCCATCATTCGTTGGGCTCAAGAAACCTCAAGGATAACTATGGTACGTACCTCCGGAGATCCGTTTAAAAAAATGTTCAAGGACTAACGAGGTCTTACCTTTTAACGTGCGATTCCCAACACACATCGAAGGCATAAGTTCATCTATTTGTTTTAAAAATATATTTGTTTTAAATGGATGACCTTTAACTTTATGGATGACAGTTAACTAGTTTAGTAATCCAATAATTTGTCTGAAAAAAGGTTGGTCTGGTAACAGGATCAATTTCTTTAAAAAAACAATTGTTTTATTGCCGACTTTTCGAATTTAATTAAATTCTTCTTCAGGGCTCGAAAAGTAGTTTTTTCGTGTTGTTAATATGACTATTTTAAAAACAATCAGACATATTAGATACATACATATTTATATTTGAAAAAATAAAAATCATTGCAACAACCAAATAGTAAATAGTAATATTATCAACACGAAAAACTACTTTTCAAGCCCTGAAGAAGAATTTAATCAAATTCGAAACGTCGGAAAGAAAACCATTGCTTTTAAAGAAAAAATGTATGAATGACCTTTACTTTATGCAAAACTGAACGCGTACTATGATTAATGCAAATCGGCATAGACAACTTTGCTACGGTCCATCTCGAAAGAGGACGATGTGGAAATTATGGACAAGACAGGATGTGCCGTTCGTAGATAAAAGCATCCTGAACCTTGTAGATGCCGGAGAGAGGTATACTTATCTCGGGGTAATATTAGTGAAGAAATTTCTCTAACATAAAGCTGCTATAATAGGCTTACCATTCTGGTCTTATAGTACTCTTTTGTAATGGTGAAGTTAACCCTGAAGTAGCCGCACCCACTGGACGTGAACACCCGCAAGTAATCGTATCCTAAATCGTCCATTTCAGATAAATCAGGAATCGGGAATGTCTGTATAACAGAATGGTTCAGGCAGGAACATATAAGATATAACAGAAGTTCCAATACGCGTCACTGTATATTCCGTGACCATAACAGGGACTAGAGAGTTTCTTTAGAAATCAGGTTTTGCCGTGGTCTTCTTTGGTTATAATTTCCGAACGTTTCGACTGCAACTGCGGCAGTCATCTTCAGTGACGTGTTCGAAGTAGTCTTCTTGACGTGTCAACTGACTGCCGCAGTTGCAGTTGAAACGTTTGGAGATTATATCCAGAGAAGATCACGGCAAACCCGGAAACATTTCTATATTAAACAAAAACTTTGTCATCGAAATGAAATTGAGGTGCAAAGAATATTTTGTTTCTATGGGTATTGGCCATACAATAATAAGCTAATGCATCTGGTCTTCTACCTTCACCTTCCTTCATTTTTTTGTCTTCTCAACTAATGTCAAAGACTGTATTTATTACAAAACGTAAAGCGATGGACGATCTAAGACTGTGTATTAGGTAATGTGAAAGCAAATCAATTTTAACATTTTTCAACGACCATGACTCATTACTTTTCAAAAAACAAGTTAGATAATCGATCGATCCTTTTCTTAGAAATAAAAAAATGCATACACAAGACGAAAACATTGATTTCTTTGATAACGCAAACATCAAACTGATGATATTTCTTCACACGTCAGGGTCAAGCTGCGTGTACGATCTTGTTTAATTTATCTCATTAATCAATGTGAAAGTGACATGAAGATAGGTTTCAGTAAATTTTCAATTTAAAAAAAATATCCTATGAAGTTTTGCGGCAAGTCTCAATTCTGGGACAAATTTTTGGATTTTCCGACAAGGCAATCTTCTGTCTTAACCAATTGTATTTATTTAAATTAGTTCGAAATATAAGAAGATTATGTCAACCGTAATCGGTTTAACAGATTCTGTTATAGTTCATTGTATTATCTTGAAGATTACCATTGTTGTATTCATTTCATCTGATACACTTCTTTGAATGACTAGAAAGAAATCCTAATTAATCCTGTTTTAGGTTTATCTAGCTTCCGAATGCAATGCTAATTGTTTATTTTTTTATTCAATAGATAAGCTTCGTTATTCTATTGAGAGGTTGGGACCTCCAGTAGAGAATGGGTCAGTAGTGCCATGGATTGAAGGCAGCATGTCAAAACTATTAACAGATTTGAAAGTCAGTGATTAAATAAATGAATAATGTAGAAATTACGAAACTTGATATTGAAAAGTCGATTACAAAAAAAAATCTTGGTGTTCAATAGAGACAACAAAATATTAAAGTTTGACTGAAAAATTTTATTAATAAATGAAATTGTAAGAATGTACTATATTCGAAAGAAACGAAAAGATATTTTATTTGTATTTAGGTGAAGATTGAAATATTCTTTGTCACATTATTACTAAGCCAATTCTGTTTTTCTTTGATTCAGTACTTATCCTATAATTCATCAGTCTTTTCCACATGTTTGAAAGCTCTACGTTTGAATGATTGAATGCGTTATGTTTCAGTATCCTTAAACCTTCTGTGTTGAATTAATGTTTATTTTTCTATGGATAACTCAGTTTTGGACAACTTGATGTAAGTTGGTGAGTCCCTACTTGCTTGCAAGTGTCTCCGCGTCAGTTATTCTTGAGCTAGCCAGTCCATTGTGCTCTTTCCGCATTCGCGTAATTCGCGTAATTTTTTCATTTTTGTAGTTTGGTTTTCATGAAGCTATTGTAGCTTTTGTTTAAGGATCGGCAAAAGGTTATGATGAACCTATTAAATCCAATTTTGTTATCATCTCTAATGATAAGTAAATAAGGCTCTTCCTCTTTATCACTCTTCCATCTTCTTGACTTAATATTTTTACCAGATTTGAACAATGTGTTGACGTACCTCTGATGCGATTCAGTTTTTTATAATTATTTTATTTTTTTTGTGGGTTTGACAAATGTCATATCTTCACATTGATATGACATTTGTCATATGATAATTTTTTACTGTAATGAAAGAGTTATTGATTGATACATCTCTTATTATTATTATGTTTTTCATGTAGTTCTAGTAAATAACTATATATACTGCTGAGATTATCAATGTCAGTTTTCTTATTCATACAATCAGAAGACTTATTAATTTCCACCATTTCAAGAAAAAGGAGTTTGGAAATATTTTTTCTGTATGTAAAACTTTGATATTAGAGTAATTTGGTTTATGACCTGTTTCTATAGAGTGTTGTGCTAATGCACATGATTTTTTATTTAGCTTTATATCATATGTGAAGTTACTCTATCATTAAGAATTCTAGATGTTGTTCCAATATAATTCAAGTTACAATTATTACAAGGAATGTTATAAATCACATGACTTTTTTGTTGTATCAGTTTTATCTTTCAATTTAGTATTCAAATTCTTTATAGTTTTAATATTTTTTTGGCATATTTTGATATTTTGTTCATTATGAAAAAGTTTTATGATATTTGAAGATAAATTTCCAAGGTTAGGTATAGATTTATAAGAAATATTGATAGGTGAACTATCATTACATACATTTCTGTTAATTACATCAGAATTTGTATTACTGCCAGTATTGAAAATTATTTTATTAAGAAGTTTTCTGGGATAAAAATTATCGATCAATATGTCTCTAAGAAGTCTGAGATTTTTTTGCTTGAGGGAAGGGTGTACTAATTTTTCTATTCTTTTTTTCAAACAGAGTATTAAATTAATTTTAACTGATTTTTTGTGAAAGGAATAGTAATTGATATATCTTCCTGAATTAGTAGGTTTGACATACCAATCTGTAATCAAGGAATTATCAGTTTTACGAATAACTCTTGTATCAAGAAAAGGGAGGGTCTGATTATTTTCTATTTCGATAGTGAATTGTAACTTCTTATCATATCTATTGACAACATCAAGAATTTCATTAGATTTGTCATAAG